CCAAATTTAGGGCAAAACGTGTTTAGTTTATCGATTTATTGAGAAGAGTGATCCGCCAAAACCAACCATTGCTTTGGAGTACATCTATGGACGCAGACATAGGGATAACAACTCGGTATACAACTTAAGATTATTGGATAAAATAATTCAACCAATTTTGTAATACTTTTCAAAAGAGTAAACAAGTTTGTAATGTCTGGGAATTGGGCGGAGGAGTGATGTTCACTAATTTGATTGAATTTGCGATCAATGATCAAAGTCTTGAGTGAGATTTAATTTAGTTTTATTTATTTGCCTATTTTTAAAAAATGAATTAACAAATAGGAGAACTTCATTGGTTATAGTTGTCGACCTATCGGTTCCCGAAGAGTTAACAATAACTATTGAAACACTACTTAACTCTATAAGCGAACAAATATCAAGAATTGTGTCCAATAATAGGAATTTAGAGAATAAACTAAAAGAGAGATCAATGAATAGAATGGCAAAGAATAACGAAGACATTCAACAAATCAATCCTTTTCTCATTCCAATAGTGATTATGGGAACCAAATATGATATTTTTCAAGTAATTTATACCATAAAGCATCGCATATGGTTGCAGTCAAATATTAACATGGCTAACTTAATTGAATCTTTCAATTAGTCAAATTTCTTTCAAATTTTGATCCTTAGATTGTTGTTCCATAGCATCAAACATTTTGCCTCAAATTTGCACCATTTTTTTACCCAAACCATTGCAACTGTTATATCAGAGTATAGTTACATCAATTGTTATACAGTGGACATTCGATTTTGACACAATTCGGTTTTAACATAACATTTTGTTAGGACCGGCGATCAATCATAATATTGTTATAGTACTCGATTTTAACAAAACTGGAAAAAGTGTCAAAATCGAAGTCTACTGTACTTGTAGTGCAATATATGCGATGCTTTCCCGGAGATGTTTTGATCCAAATATTGTTTAGAAGTACTATATATTTGAAACTCTACTAGAATTTAGATCCAGAAAAACAAAAACTAATCGTAAGATATTTACGACTAACGGCTCACTCAATGTGCGCACAATTGATGTTCGTTTCGACCAAATCGGAGGCTTTAATGACAAAATGCCGGACAGTTCTCAACGCATTGGCCTTTGATTTGCCGATCGATTCGTTGGGATTTCAAAGCGATTACAGAAAACCAATTGTTATACCCTTTGGAAGCGATTCGTACAAAAAGATTGGCGTCGACTCAATAGACGCCGTCAAACGAACCTATATTTCGATATTCCCGCAAATGGTCACAGAAGTGGTCATTCCTGACGATCCGGCGAAGGATATCAACTTCAAGGAAAGGGATATCGACTTAATTCGGGCCCAAAAAGATAGCGTAAGATATATTCGCTTAAAATTTTAATTCAAATATATTTTTGTCGTAAAACTTAATGTGAAAATTATTGATACATTTGTTTAGGAATTAGAAGACTATAAAAGACAACTTAAATATTAACTCAATATTACATAAAAATGAAAATCTTATATAACTTTTGTCTTTTTTGTGGTAACTTTTTGAGCACTTTTATGGTTAATTTGTTTCATTTCAAGCCATGTCTTTAACAAGAATATCGTTTCATCGGTTTTGAGTTCGCTTTGCTCTAATTTTTTCACATTTTTGTTCACTTTGTCCATCAGTTCGTTGTCGTGAGTGGAGAACGAATTCTTCAGGTCTTGGATCTGCTGTTCGACGTCTTGGACCGACTGTTGGCGCTCTAAACTCGATATAATAG